GCCATTTCTCACTTTGGATTACGATTATTGTGATTTTTGATTTGGAAAACGTGCTAGACATTCTTAAATTTGCAGGTTCACCAAAATGATTTATAATTTATTGCTGTAGATACGTCATTGTTTAACAAAGTAAGTAATATCCCCAAAATTAAGCAAAGGTCAGTATAAATAGTTGCAAATTGTGACTGTATAAAATAATAATTATTGCCATCATAATCACATAGGGTTGTCAGTTTGAAGATTAATTAGTTGAACTCTCATCTTCGTTCTTTTGTATCCTGAGACAATGTTCGTACTTCCCTAAAGCTACGGCAGCTCACATGCTTAATTATTTACAACCCCACTAGAATTTAAGGGGGATGTCCCATGTAGCGTGCGGGCCTCATGTGGCTAATGAGGAACATGCCGATATAGGAATTTCCCCGTAGATAACTTACATTTATTACAATCAATCTTATGGGGGCTCGATGAGGCAAATCCGTTTGAAAATACTCTCGGTAAAATGAAAAAAAACTTATAATAATAATCCGCTTGCTCAATTATGTCGTCGTTTCAATGAAATCTTTTATATTCGCAACGAACCAACAAGTGTACTTCCTGATATTGTTATTATAAGACAACTGAAACCAGACGCATCAGGTCGAACAACAGTAAAACGATTGCAATTTAAAGTATTATTAACTACAAAACAGACCAATAACACAATCTTATTTAAGAGCAAACAAATTTTACAAACAAGGATATATGTATATATTGTATTTTTTTCATTAATAATAAAGTTCATTTCTCCGAAAATTTTTAATGGGGTAGCAATAATTTTTCCCCGCGGGGGCCACATGGGGCCCACAAGAGGAAAAGTGGCTACCCACTTAGGGACCCTACCTGCACCCCTCTCAAAATTCTAGTCGGGAAACGATAATTTAACTGAAGTGTTCTTTTACTTTTCTTTACTCCTGTATCTACTTCTAATATGCGACTAATTATCCTTAATATTTAGGAAGGTGTCGTGCCATCCTTACATGTTTTTTTGTTTTATTGACCTTCATAGTGCTCTTGTTTCCTACTGTTTTCCCAATACCTCCTCATTTCCAACTAAGTAAGTTCACGTCTAACCGTAAGTCGCTTCTAACTTTTCGTTTTTTTAGCGCACCTACCATCCATGCTTCACACAGAGCAGTACATACAGTTAATTACTTATTTATTATCGACTTTATAAATCCGTTCAAGAAAGGATAATACAATGAAGAGATACTGGCATCCTGGTTGTAACTAAAAACGTATTAATTTCTTGATTCGCAGTATAAGTTTAGTTAATTAATATGATAGTGTTAAATTCCGAAAATGAAATTGGTAAACGAATTACGTGGTAATTCTCTCCAATATCAAAGTTTTGTCGGATATCGGTCCGTGTAATGGTGGTAATGTATCGCATGTGTATTAGGTATACGTAAACGTGGTAACTTTAGCAGCGAATCAATTTCAGTTCCAAACTTTTCATCATATGTGTACTGAACCTAAATCAACAAGTTCATTCGATTGTTCGGAACTTATACAGATTTGCTCTAGATATTCGAACCCAAAAATTAAACACTTTTCATATTGAAGGAGGCTTCAGTTTCCCGTTAGAGCTTCGATAAAAACTAGGTTTAATATTGTATGTTTTTCAATTTTTCTTTTCCCTCTATTTCCTCTTCATTCTTATGTTTACGCTTTCCGTTTGACTGATTCTAGTCCTGTTATGATTATTTTTGGATGATGTGATACTGATCCTGTGGAAATAACGCACGATTTGGAGCAATTGTGCAAATCTATCTGTGGGATTTTTTTTAGACGAATGCAAACCGTATATAAAAGTTTAATTTATAAAAGAATATGTACACAGATTTACAAAAAAAGGTACTTCTACTGTGACTTCTTAACCGATTTTAATCCTGCTAACCAGGAAGGACCCTTTCTTTTCTTACCCTCTCCTGCAACCATGGAACCGACGGCTTATCTGCTATGCTATCTCCCTTTTTAACTTAGTACCTACGACTATGCTATAGTTAGGACGTTCAACATTTACTATCTTCTTTCGACTTATTAACTAGACTAGGGCAGATGCTAACTAAACATCTACTTTTACTAACGACAGACGTAAAAGGGAATATCATAAACATAGAAGAGAGATGTCAGGTAGGAATTGCAGCGGATACATAAATAAAAAGGAAAAACATTATAGGAACTGATGTGTAACAGAGAGAGATGCAGACAGACAGAATTTCAGCATGTTACCAGCATCCGACTTTAAAGAAAGTTCAACATTCTCAGGAATTTAGGAAAGGAATGACGCCCGTTAAAGGCAGTTATAATCCGACCCTGATCTTCTACGTACCTAAGCAACCTCTAACCGCTGCACCGATTGCTATTACTCAGTTATCTCTTTTCACTTTGTATTCGTGTTCAAAACGCAGCAGATGACTACAGTCCCAAATGGAAACAAGAAGGAAGATACTTCCATTCTTACAGATAAATTATTGCAGATTTTCCCAACTTTCATTGTCCCAACTATACTTATTCTTAAATGTAAACTAGAATATTATTTACTATACCTAGTGTTCTTGATTTTAAAAATCTTCCACAAACAAATTTCGTGTGATTTTTATTGTACCTACGGTATAAAATGTGTATGTAGAAATCAGATTTACCTGTTTCATCAATATGATCATAGTTATTTTGGACTTGTCAACTTTACTGTCGCATATTTCGATTAGAAGTAGATTAAACATATTAGACGTTGCTTTTTTTCACGAAAATAATTATGACGCTTGGATGAGATCTTAATTATGATGATATGGGAAAATCGAACATTTTACTCTTACAAGTGAGAAATATTATCGTACACAGCAAACAATACAGTTGTAATCTTAACTTTTCGGACACACGTCTGAAAGGAAACAGAAATTGCAACAGTAAAATGAGATTTAACATGCAATAAAGTCGTATCTAGTTTAAATGTTCTTCTTTCCGGCAATGCCCAGCGATGAAATCGTAAAGGTGGTTTATGTTCAGGATAATATCCTTGCAGTAAAATGAGTACATCCGGGTTTATAGTAGTTATAAATGTGACAGTTCAACTGGACGTCAATTTTCGCATTTTAGTTGCGAACAATTGCATCGGTTTAATTGGATAAGATTGCCGCTCAGCTGAGAGCTCTTTGAGAAGTCAAATTGGAATTAATGTTAGCTGGATTTATCTAACCAGGCATTAAACCATTACGACGTATGCGCTTACAGTAGTCGATGTTGTAAATAGAAACTAATACCAAAACCAATATACACTATCACTATGAGCTAATGATGAGATTTACTCCAATTTCCGGTGACTACCAAATAAAAACCGTTTAAATTAATGGTTACCCATTGTGCTGCAGTTGTACACAGGGTGTTTATCACCGAAATATGAAATTATACTATATTGAATAATGTGGCTATAGTTTTTGACAATAAAGTGTTTTTGTTCAGACTTTGGTAATTGTCCAGAATTGGAGCTCCAGAACTAAATCGCTCCAAATTTTTTTTTATCGATTTCTGGTCATTATGCATAAGAGAATCAGATATTAGAAGGTGGGGGAGACAGTTCTTTATGACTTCATAAATAAAAAAAAATTTTTTGAATGATAATGTTTCAAAATTGCCCCAATTCTGGATAATTACCTGCATCGGTGACGTTATTGTTTAGTTAGGTAGATTTCAGACAGATTGGAGTTTATCTAATACCACTGCTCGTCGGAGGCGTTAGAGTATTTTATTCACAGAAAGCATCAGTCTTATACATTTCCTAGTACAATATCGGAATTTCATACAATTCCTATAAATGTAGAACGATCGGAAATCGATGAAAAAATTTTTCTAACGATTTTGGTCTGGAGCCGCAATTACGGGTAATTAGCGAATCTCAAACATTTCGCCCTATTTGTATTTTATTAACAATTTGATTCCTGTCTATATACTCAATAAGATTGTCATGATTCCTCATTTTTACATCCTTACACTTATCTTATTAATTAGGCGATAGACATACTCATTTCCAACATAGTTTCATATTTAACGAAAGTTTAAGTTTCATACTTATTGAATTGTAGATATGCTTCGTTATCTGTTTTGTGCTTAAAAGTGGAGTTCAATTTTTATTTCTAACCACTACAAACTGTTACACCTCCAAGAAGAAGGAAAGGAATTCTGAAGGACTCGTGTATTTTTTGTAAAAAATATCGATTTTCGCTCACTTTCAAAACCACCAATGATCTTTCCCGAAAGAAACAGAGAAAAAAAGAAGAGCTTTCAACTCCGTGATATCGCATACACTTTATCTATTTACTCTTGAAACGCGCTTTCACTTTTTGGGTTTTACACAATTACGTACATATATTTTCTTGTCTCAGCCCTTGGTAAGAAATATCTTGCGTAGTTTTTATTCGTCAATATTTTGGTGTAGCATTAATGGGAACTACAACGTCTCCTTTTTGATATGTCATGTATACCTACCTACCTTTATCATATTTTTTATCTTACTAAGGGGATATTGAATTCCTATTTTGCTGTCCCGTCTACTTTAAAAAACACTGGGTGAAAATTCAAACTATTTTCTAATTGTTTATTTTGTTGTTTTTTGTTTTTTACATTTACTGTTCTTGTTAATCCCCAAGATTAGGATTATCCTATAATTATGTGTACAGATTTCTAATGCATTTTGTGTCCTTTAAAAGAAATTCCTTCTGAAGATCCCATAGAATTAATTAATTTGTGTACGAATAATTACATTAATTTATTCATTTAATTATTTTCGTCCCCTCCCTATAAGTAGGAGTCTAATAGCGCCCCCGACTTCGTGTGTGTTTCCCGGAAAATGCATTTTCGTTCCAGTCGTCGACTTTCCAATTTTAATAGTTGGTTATTTGCGGTTGTACGATTGAAATGAACTTTTACAGTACAGAAGCGCAATAATATGGCCTACGTACCTGGAGGCACATGTAGCCAGGGTTGTAGACGTGATCGCAGCTACAGTGGCACGTTGCCGCCCTTTGCTGGCTACCCATCAGTTCGAATATTTGCTCTGGATCGCAGTCGGCCTCGGCGGCGTCCATTCCATCTCCTTGTTTCCGCTTCCGCCTTTCGCTGTTATTACCGTTCGCCCTGAAATACGATCGTTCCCGTTAAAACACACGCATACAATCGAGGAGTCGCGATGAGATATCGATAGCACTTCATAAAATCGAAATAACTGCGTGCCTGCGAATCCTGATTTAGATATGGCGAAAGAAATAAAAAGGATCGCCTATCTCGATATTAAATGCGTATAGATTTTCCGATTTAAAAGAAGAATATCGGTAATTGTTATGTTTTTGCCTATTTCTCTTTTTCATTTTTTTTTTCAACGTGTAAAAGCTGTAGATGAAAATTTCCTCCACTTTGTTTCCAAAATACCAGCCAAAACAGTATATCTTTCTTATCTTTTAAAAACAATTCCGATTGCTAAAAACAAAGTGTAATCCAACGTGGTTTATTCGCGATAATCCACCAGCGCATTTTGGTGTCACTGGTAGTGCTTTTTAACAGGAACATAATATGGACATAGCCCGGATATAAACCCTCTGAATTATTTTACTGAACTAGAAAATTGGAAGATTTGAATTTAAGAAATCGGCTACTTACTGCATAATGTAATTCAATAAAAAACAACCCTGCTGCTATCATTGAAAGAGTTCGGAGGTCAATGAGGACAATATTGGAAAGATGCTTTCTATAGTTAGCCCCCAGTTGGGGGTAGTTATTTTCAACAGTTTTTACAGATTAAAAAGCTTTATATGTGATATTTAGATTGGATAATAAAACGTTGTTATTGTTGAAGTTACAATGTGTTTCTGAAACCTTTAAAAGTGACTGTCTTTGTCGATTCTGATTATAATTAAATCTGAAACGTTTATAAGTGACTGTCTTTGTCGGTAGGTAGTGATTATAATTAAATTAACTTTAAATCCATGCTTGACATTTACGCACAGAGAAACTTCGCAAAGGTCACCCGTAGGGAATATCCGCATACTTATTATACTTAATAGTAAATGAGAAGAGAAAGGGCACGTTCTCGCCTTCTATACAATATTCAACAGGTGACGACCACGTCATCGTGTACATTGTACATGTGTGAATGAGTGTAAATAGGTGGGTGGTTAGAACAAGTTGATTGTGTATGCTAACCTGGTGCTGCTGTCGCTTGTTCTCGTCATGACCTTGTGGCCACCGGGGCCCGCGTGTCCCCCAACCACCCTTCGGAAGCCGTACTCATCGGTCCCCAGCAAATCCTTGTCAAAGTCGGTCGAAGCACTCACCGAACAATTCTCCTCACGATAACTGTCGTATAAAAGGGCATTATGACCCAAGTGGGTGTTAATAATTTCGGGTGTGTGTTGCATTCTTCGGAGGGACGCATTCCTTTGGAATTTCGCCCCGGATATTGCCGGAGGGTCACACCCTCTAGCCGTCACCGCTGTTGCTTGTTGCTTTCCCGAATCGACGAAACCTGCACGTCTTGAGAAGAGAAATTGACAATGTAAAAATATGCGACAAGCAAATAAACAATTTATAATATTATAATTCATTTACTTTCTCTAGCGATTTGTCCCTTCCAATGTCTTGGATTGTAGAGAGAAAAAAGCTCAGTATACTCTCGACTCTTGTTCATTAAACATACTTTTTCATACAGTACCTGCCAAAAGTTTTGGTCAATCATGAATAGTAGTGCGAATCGAAAACAAGCGTTAAAGTCTTTAATATGTCTCCAAATATAAATAAACATCTGGTTGATATTTTCAGTAGATATTTACAGTAGTAATTGGTACCAATAGCAGCACATTTGAGCAATGCAATTTTAGTGGATAAAATGGTCAATTTTTCCGTGCAGTACTGTACTCTAAGAGTTTGGCCGAGAGTTGTCTCGTTTCTTTTCTACTTTGCGCCGGCAAACTGAAGGTCACATCGCTACAGAAACTAAACGAAATATACCAACTATTATTTAATGAGTTATAAGAATAAGAGAACGTTAGTTCCTGGGTCCACAGAACTTCATTTGATTTGAATTTTAATGACTTATTGAATTTGATGCAAAAACAATTTTGCTATTACCAGATTAATATTAATTAATCTTCTATATGCATTACATTTGAAATGCACGAATAATTAAAATAAAGTATTAATAATGTTGGCTTACAATTAGTGGTAGACACATTTTTAAATTCATTTTTATGACGTTAACTTTGTATAATTGATATAAATTTGAACATAATTACATAAATAGAAATATCGCATTGTTGTTTACATTGAATTACCTGTGCAAAGGTAATCCATTACGGTAATCAAAAGAATTTCATTATAGCTGGTTTAATTGTTTAACCGACGTATTTATTGCCAAACATGATTTAAATGCAATTTACAATTCAAGGAAAACACTCGCTGAAATTGCACGTGCATTGTTTGTTTAAACAAATTGCATTCGTATTTGTGGTGGTTGTTATCAATAGGACTAATCGGTAATAATGTTGGAACGTAACACAATCCTCTCAACGAACGTTTCTGTGTGGAAAATTAATTTAGGTACATTTTATTTTCTGACTCATTCAACTTTTCATGATTTTCACTTTTAATTCCAATTTGCGAGTTATAGTTTTTATTTTTATCAGTGTGTTAAAAGAGTATATTGTTTTATGCCCTGTTCTCAAAAATGTTTTTGTGCCTATTTTTCGAAATACTCATTACTCACAACAATTAGTCCTGCATAGGAATACAAACCAATTTCTGTGAGCCAAGACTGGTTAATTACAAACAGAAAAGCAAGGGCAAAACTTTAATTGCTTTAATACTTGTCTTTGTCTACTTTCGATCTGGATCAATCTGGATATTGTTCCCTTGTATTTTCTTAGTTTCTTCAACTATCATTTAGACAAGTCAGAAATATAATTTTCTATGATCTTGCGCTTGTAGTGTTTGGGTCATTGTTTTCAAAATTGAAACAGAGAAAAACAAACATTACCTTCTCATTGGCATTTTTACAAAAATCTAAATTTAATAACTTATTTAATTAAATAATTATTTTAAGTCGGTTTACGTTTTGTTAAAGCATACTTGTTACCATTAGGTTTATTTCAGTAAACATCGAATTTAAAGTTTCATCACAATATCCTGTAAACTATAAAATGCGTTGAATTATGTCGTCATCTGTTTTATATACATATCATGTTGAAATTGCGAGCAACAGAGTGGAGGATTCAGAATCCTTTTATGTCACCTCGCGATCCTTAATTTAATGCAGATGAATGATACAAAGTTTCTTGCAGTTGTAGTCACGAGTTTTGAAGACAAAGTCTGATGATACATCGAACTACCAAGTGCTATTATACGAAGTCGTTGGGAAGGAATCGTGAACTAAGGATAATGTAGTATAAGGAGAACTCACCCTCGAAAATGATAATGACACTAAATAGGTAGCAATCTTTTCTTTAAACTTGTGGATAAATCCTTTATTCAAATTATTTTATTGGAAGTAACAACGTTTAGAATAGAGACCAATCTTTGATTGTTTCGGTGTTCTGAGTGTAAATTGTCGTCAAACTTTGAAGCTTATACTTATGTTTTTCTTAACAAGTTATTGTAGTAACTAGCCAGAATTATTGAGTTGTATATTTTCGATGCTTAGAGGTAAAATAATATAGGTTAGAAAAGGCATTATAATAGGGACAATTTGGAAATTCCAACAGGATTTTTAAATGTGTATTATGCTTGGAGCACGTCTCTACAAATGCAAAACGAAAACGTGCAGAAAAGGAAAAGTTAGAAGCGTTTATGATGTGATGTTGCAGAAGGATGATTAGTTTTGGTATTGGCCTTGGTCTTGCTTATTCACGATTGGTCTTGATGAAATACTTCTTGTCTTGGTTTTGGTCTTGTTGACATAGTTTTGGTCTTGGTATTAGCCTTTATTATTAATTTTATGTTCTAAGTGTACACATTTTTATATATTTATCCGTTTGTGTATATGGATGTAAACAAACCGCAAGGCAAAGTTGTAAAGCAAAGTGCACATTGCGGACGATATTTCACTTTAAAGTGTTACTTTTCCATCTTGTTTTCCATTAGGTACAGACACATATACATTTTCCATTTTTGACACTTGAGAAACTTGAGGAAATTTACATTTGAGAAAGTTTTATCCACATTTGGAATGAAGCTCTATAAAAGTTGATAAAATTTAATAACACAAAACTCGAAGGTGAAGTAGTTGAACGGCATCGTCTTCTTCAAATCAATCATCCTATTCGATAGTATTTGCTCCACTTTTGCAATGCAAGTGGAAAACAATGTATTCTAATCACGTAGCTTCGCTTCTGGCGTAAATGATTTCTTTCAATGAAATTGCTTCAGCCATTTCTCACTTTGGATTACGATTATTGTGATTTTTGATTTGGAAAACGTGCTAGACATTCTTAAATTTGCAGGTTCACCAAAATGATTTATAATTTATTGCTGTAGATACGTCATTGTTTAACAAAGTAAGTAATATCCCCAAAATTAAGCAAAGGTCAGTATAAATAGTTGCAAATTGTGACTGTATAAAATAATAATTATTGCCATCATAATCACATAGGGTTGTCAGTTTGAAGATTAATTAGTTGAACTCTCATCTTCGTTCTTTTGTATCCTGAGACAATGTTCGTACTTCCCTAAAGCTACGGCAGCTCACATGCTTAATTATTTACAACCCCACTAGAATTTAAGGGGGATGTCCCATGTAGCGTGCGGGCCTCATGTGGCTAATGAGGAACATGCCGATATAGGAATTTCCCCGTAGATAACTTACATTTATTACAATCAATCTTATGGGGGCTCGATGAGGCAAATCCGTTTGAAAATACTCTCGGTAAAATGAAAAAAAACTTATAATAATAATCCCCTTGCTCAATTATGTCGTCGTTTCAATGAAATCTTTTATATTCGCAACGAACCAACAAGTGTACTTCCTGATATTGTTATTATAAGACAACTGAAACCAGACGCATCAGGTCGAACAACAGTAAAACGATTGCAATTTAAAGTATTATTAACTACAAAACAGACCAATAACACAATCTTATTTAAGAGCAAACAAATTTTACAAACAAGGATATATGTATATATTGTATTTTTTTCATTAATAATAAAGTTCATTTCTCCGAAAATTTTTAATGGGGTAGCAATAATTTTTCCCCGCGGGGGCCACATGGGGCCCACAAGAGGAAAAGTGGCTACCCACTTAGGGACCCTACCTGCACCCCTCTCAAAATTCTAGTCGGGAAACGATAATTTAACTGAAGTGTTCTTTTACTTTTCTTTACTCCTGTATCTACTTCTAATATGCGACTAATTATCCTTAATATTTAGGAAGGTGTCGTGCCATCCTTACATGTTTTTTTGTTTTATTGACCTTCATAGTGCTCTTGTTTCCTACTGTTTTCCCAATACCTCCTCATTTCCAACTAAGTAAGTTCACGTCTAACCGTAAGTCGCTTCTAACTTTTCGTTTTTTTAGCGCACCTACCATCCATGCTTCACACAGAGCAGTACATACAGTTAATTACTTATTTATTATCGACTTTATAAATCCGTTCAAGAAAGGATAATACAATGAAGAGATACTGGCATCCTGGTTGTAACTAAAAACGTATTAATTTCTTGATTCGCAGTATAAGTTTAGTTAATTAATATGATAGTGTTAAATTCCGAAAATGAAATTGGTAAACGAATTACGTGGTAATTCTCTCCAATATCAAAGTTTTGTCGGATATCGGTCCGTGTAATGGTGGTAATGTATCGCATGTGTATTAGGTATACGTAAACGTGGTAACTTTGGCAGCGAATCAATTTCAGTTCCAAACTTTTCATCATATGTGTACTGAACCTAAATCAACAAGTTCATTCGATTGTTCGGAACTTATACAGATTTGCTCTAGATATTCGAACCCAAAAATTAAACACTTTTCATATTGAAGGAGGCTTCAGTTTCCCGTTAGAGCTTCGATAAAAACTAGGTTTAATATTGTATGTTTTTCAATTTTTCTTTTCCCTCTATTTCCTCTTCATTCTTATGTTTACGCTTTCCGTTTGACTGATTCTAGTCCTGTTATGATTATTTTTGGATGATGTGATACTGATCCTGTGGAAATAACGCACGATTTGGAGCAATTGTGCAAATCTATCTGTGGGATTTTTTTTAGACGAATGCAAACCGTATATAAAAGTTTAATTTATAAAAGAATATGTACACAGATTTACAAAAAAAGGTACTTCTACTGTGACTTCTTAACCGATTTTAATCCTGCTAACCAGGAAGGACCCTTTCTTTTCTTACCCTCTCCTGCAACCATGGAACCGACGGCTTATCTGCTATGCTATCTCCCTTTTTAACTTAGTACCTACGACTATGCTATAGTTAGGACGTTCAACATTTACTATCTTCTTTCGACTTATTAACTAGACTAGGGCAGATGCTAACTAAACATCTACTTTTACTAACGACAGACGTAAAAGGGAATATCATAAACATAGAAGAGAGATGTCAGGTAGGAATTGCAGCGGATACATAAATAAAAAGGAAAAACATTATAGGAACTGATGTGTAACAGAGAGAGATGCAGACAGACAGAATTTCAGCATGTTACCAGCATCCGACTTTAAAGAAAGTTCAACATTCTCAGGAATTTAGGAAAGGAATGACGCCCGTTAAAGGCAGTTATAATCCGACCCTGATCTTCTACGTACCTAAGCAACCTCTAACCGCTGCACCGATTGCTATTACTCAGTTATCTCTTTTCACTTTGTATTCGTGTTCAAAACGCAGCAGATAACTACAGTCCCAAGTGGAAACAAGAAGGGAGATACCTCCATTCTCAAAAAACAGGTTTACCTGTTTGATCAATATGATCATAGTTATTTTGGACTTGTCAACTTTACTGTCGCATATTTCGATTAGAAGTAGATTAAATCATAGAAAGACATTGCTTTTTTTCACGAAAATAATTATGACGAGAGATCTTGATTATGATCAAATGAGAAAATCGAACATTTTACTCTTACATGTGAGAAATATTATCGTACACAGCAAACAATACAGTTGTAATCTTAACTTTTCGGACACACATCTGAAAGGAAACAGAAATTGCAACAGTAAAATGAGATTTAACATGCAATAAAGTCGTATCTAGTTTAAATGTTCTTCTTTCCGGCAATGCCCAGCGATGAAATCGTAAAGGTGGTTTATGTTCAGGATAATATCCTTGCAGTAAAATGAGTACATCCGGGTTTATAGTAGTTATAAATGTGACAGTTCAACTGGACGTCAATTTTCGCATTTTAGTTGCGAACAATTGCATCGGTCTAATTGGATAAGATTGCCGCTCAGCTGAGAGCTCTTTGAGAAGTCAAATTGGAATTAATGTTAGCTGGATTTATCTAACCAGGCATTAAACCATTTCGACGTATGCGCTTACAGTAGTCGATGTTGTAAATAGAAACTAATACCAAAACCAATATACACTATCACTATGAGCTAATGATGAGATTTACTCCAATTTCCGGTGACTACCAAATAAAAACCGTTTAAATTAATGGTTACCCATTGTGCTGCAGTTGTACACAGGGTGTTTATCACCGAAATATGAAATTATACTATATTGAATAATGTGGCTATAGTTTTTGACAATAAAGTGTTTTTGTTCGGACTTTGGTAATTGTCCAGAATTGGGGCTCTAGACCAAAATCGCTCCACGTTATTGTTTAGTTAGGTAGATTTCAGATAGATTGGAGTTTATCTAATGCCACTGCTTGTCGGAGGCGGGCTGATATGTTAGAGTATTTTATTCACAGAAAGCATCAGTTTTATACATTTCCTAGTACAATATCGGAATAATTGAGATTCCAGACCAAAATTACTCTAAAAATTTTTTCATCGATTTCTGGTCATTTCTGAGGGTTCAATGATTATGTTTGAGATGGGGGAGACACCCTTTTTTTTATTACAGCATACATGATAGGGTATGGTGCGTGTATAACTATTTGTTCTTTTAATATTAGATAATAAAAGAGTTTTATACAGTAATAATCGTGAGATAAGGAGATTAAAAGGTTGTATAACTTTTAACACCCCCCCCCCTTCCGCTCCTGTACTCCTCATCCATCTCTTCCCGTACCTACAGTTTAGAACTGTGATT